AAATACTACATACTATTGTGGATTCGGCACGAATTTCCAGACCCCGTCGAATCGAATCTTGCCGCCGAATTAGACAAACCACGCGAATTTTGGAAGTTTATAGCGAATTCACAATTCTACGTACTACTAACGTTAGTAGTTTCGTAAACGACCCGATCTGGTGCCTCCTCCTAGTCGTCCACAAGCCTACTCCATGGTGGACTCTCTGACCCCTGCCCCAATGGTGGGCCTAACTAACATGTAAACCTCATTTGGCTACTCAGCTGAATTGTGTTCACATCTATAGTGAGTACAGTCAGTAGCTCCCGAACACTCGCACAACAAACGTACTACCATGTCACGAACGTCGATCAATAATACTATAATGCAGCGTCACACAATCCGATCCACTCCGCAATAGTCGTCCTAATAGTTATTGCCACGCCACCCGTAACTCATCAGTACCATAAATAATCCACTGGGATTATTTCATTTTAAGCATAGCTTTATCACTGCTACAACTAGCGCGATTACGGCCCCAACTCCCCCGTCATCATCTTGCTTGGGTTCATCGACCTCATTCGTGTGCTCGCTGCTGCAGAAACTTGGCGTGGACTGCAAAGTGTCGTTGATGTTGATCCCGCACGACTTTGCCACTCGTCTGGTACAGCCATCACATCCAGCCCCCCGTCGGTGCACCAAGAGCCACTCGACCACGTCTAAATGGCCAAGACTTGCTGCGTACATGAGCGCATTCCTAGAGCACCCCTCGCTTCGATTTGCATGTAGCCACTGGACTACGCCCAGAAACCCCCCTCGACATGCATTGTCCATCGCTTCGGTGGTACATCCTGGCGCATCCTTGCTTTGATGCAACCATTGCAGCATTTCCAGATGGCCATTTGCAGCCGCAAAATCCATCGCGTCAGTTGACCCCCCTTCTCGACGGTTAAACAGTAACCATTGCACGACCTCCAGGTGGTTTCCGCGGGCCGCTTGGTCCACTGCCGCCACCGTACACCCAGCGCCAGTGTGTTCATGGAGCCATTGGACCATTTCCAAATGGCCATTGGCTGCGGCGTCGTCCATGGCGCGGGTCGTACAATAATACTGACGTTGGAATACACCCAGTCGCGCCATCAATTGACCGAGAAAAGTGCTGTGTTTTTGGCAAGCTGAAATAGATACGAGCCAGCGCACCACGTCGAGGTGGTTGTGTTTGGCCGCCAAGTCCACGGCGCGACTTGTGAACCCCTCAGATCGATGAAGGTGGAGCCACTGGAGCACATGCAAATGGCCATGTTCTGCCGCGGCGTCCATCGCGTACAATGCGCCGTCTGAGAACCGATGGACATGCAGATACATGACTATGTCCAGATGGCCATTGGCGGCGGCAATCTCCAACGCTGACTGGGCTATGTACGGTCGCTGACAACAGTCGTGGGCGCGATGGCGGTGTAAGAATGTCACAATTTCCAAATGTCCATTGCGACACGCGCCAGCCAATGCCACGTATGTGCAGCCTTGGTCCCGTCGCTTGGAAGCATGCATCCATTGAACGACATCCAGATGGCCGTTGGTGGCGGCGGCGTCCATGGCGTCAGTCGTGAAGGAGCATCCCAGCGCAAACATGTATTGTATCATCGCCAAATGTCCTCTCGACGCGCATACGTTGAAAAGCTTGGGGTGATGCAACGACGTTATTGGAGCCAGGCCGTTGTCAAGGAGGTATTGAACGATGGGACGATGACCGTTGAGTGCCGCGCCTTGCAGCCCCTTGTCCAGACATTGCTGGATGGCGCCGCTATGGTTTCGGGGGGCGTGGCGTAGCTGCACGATCATGTCGAGATTGCCATTGATGGCTGCCCAATCCATGGCGTCAAGCGCGCCACGTGTGTGGTTGTGGGCGATCAGGTACTCACATGCTCGAGTGTTGTTCGCGTACGCTGCCATGCCGAGCAAGTTTGCACTTGACTGGGGCTGCTGGCGCAGACAATGCACGAGCAGCGGGTGGTCGACCGAGCAAATGGCAACGCATGCCACGAGGTGGTGCATGGCTGGGATGCACTCGAACAATTTGCCGAGTCGGGATGGTCCAAACGTAGCCAGCCACGGCATCAGCATCGCATGGCACTGGTTCACGATGGACACGTAGGCGCTGTCAATGGCATCGGGTGATGAGACGATGGCGAATTCAAGGAATGGACGCACGTCATCTTGGATGCCGTGTTGATACGCGACCACAACGTGCATGAGGTCAGGTGACAGAAGTAAGCTGGTCGCCACACAGGAATACGAGGACTCAAACCGAGGCGCCATATATCAAGTTGATAGGGCGGCGATTGAAAAGTTGCTCAGGTTGTTGGAGCAACTTTCGACTCAAACGACAGCTCCGGAGAGGCCAGTTCTGAGCCATTGACGCGGGACGCTACCGGTACAGTAGTGAGAATTGCAGATCGCATTTCGATCTTGGCGGATACTACATTTCTTTTTATTTTGAGAGTGTTCCATACAAAAACACAAGCAAGATTTACACATATATTAAAAACAGACTATATACTTTTTAGGGGTTTTCTGACGTGGCAAAGGGATGTTGTCGATGATTCCGCCGAGTACTCCAAAGAAGATGTATCTGATTGAACCATTACATGTAGGCACGGGGAGCTACTGTTGGCAGTTGCGGTGGAAGGAGTTGCAAAGTCAAAAAAGTAAGTACCGTGGCACCTTTGGAGGACTCGGAACTTTAGAGGTAGTGGCTACGAGTCGTAGCCACGATTGATCGTAGGCTGCGACCATTCGTGGCAATTGTCAAATGAGCAGTAAGCTCACAACTCAGGATCGATCGTGAAGAATCACCACCCACTCGTCTATTTTTACATCTCATAGTCACAAATCAAAGGTGTTGCCAGTCAACTCGGAAACTGAACATTCCGTCGTGGTTTTTTCTGCCTTCACGGGTCGCGACTACGCAACCGCATTGGTGGCGGCCACACTACTCATTGTGATGCCCTCGACAAGCTGCACACAATGTACCTCCACGAGCCATGCGAAGAATGCGAGGAATGGTGTCGTGGCCTCCTGTAATCGCACCGCACCACACAACCGGCAGCGGAGCGATGCGTCAAGAGCCATTAAACCATGCTCAAGTGCCCAATTGCCGCCGCAAAGTCTAGGGAGATCACGTCCACTTGAACCTCGGGCTGCAATTGCTGGAGGTATGCAACGACATCGACATATCCCATGCGAGAGGCCATGTAGTACATGGCCGTAAAATCTTCGACGGATGGGCGGTGCTTTGACATGAGCCACTCAAGGGCTTTCAAATTGCCGTTGGCAGCCGCGGCAAACATGGAGTGGCGGCTATTATAGTTTTGGACGAGCTGGGGATCCACGAGCCACTGCGCTACACGTACGCGGTTGAGTTCAATGGTCTTGTCCACGGTAGATGAGGTGCACCCCGCCGTCGGTGGAGGTGGAGATACTGCACCATTTCCAAATGGCCATTGGTGGCCGCTCCGTCCATGGCGTCGGTCGTACAATGACCTTGCAACCGTAGCCGAAACCACTGGTCCAACCACTGGGGCTGGTGATCTTACAATAGCCATTGGACAACGTCCATGTGGTTGTGTTTTGCCGTCAAGTCGATGGCTTTGTGCGAGCAGCCTTCCGTGCGGTTTTGGCTCAGCCATCACACCATATCCAAGTGGCCACGGCCGGCGGCACCGTCCATCGCTGCGACGGTTATGTGGGCTGTGTCCAGAACGTGCAAATATTGCACCACAGCCAAATGTCCATGTGTCGCCGCCACATCCAACTCTCGACCGACCAAATGGTCTCTGAATTCGTACACTTGAAGTAGAAATTGGACGATCGCTAAATGGTCACGCATGGAAGCCATTTCCAAGCAGCTGGAGGTGCATCCTTCGTGCTGATGGCGATGGAGCCATTGGATAACTTCCAAATGGCCATTCTACGCTGCCCAGTCCATTGCGTGCACCGTACAACTGGCGACGCCACCAAGACCATGCAGCCACTGTACGACCTCCAGGTACCCGTGCGAAGCGGCCACGTCCATAGCACCTCGAAAACCACGACCCCCCCGGGCGTATATAAACTCCATCGACCTCAGCTGTCCATACCGGGCACATTCTTGCTTCAGCCGCGGATCGGACGTCATTTGGACATCAACCAATCCTTGGGTCCACAAGTACTTGGCCACGTCTACATGGCCATGTAAGAGGGGTTTCGAACGCTCGAGGTCGTACAGCGTTCACGTCGGGCTTGATGGAGAAACACAACCATTTCCAAATGGCCATGGCCGGCTGCAAAGTCTATCGCGTCGGTCGAGCAACCTGCATGGTCGAGTCGGTGCAGTCATTTCAACGCGTCGAAATTATTGACGCGTACTGCAATGTCGACGAAGTTTTAATGGAAGGTCGTGGCAATCGCGTACATTGGGAGCTCCAGGTGCTTCAACAGTAGCGCGTTCGGAAAGCAAATGGCGTCCAAGAGGACGAGCCGCTTGGTGTGCGCAACGTGGCAAAGACGTGAGGCAGCCCGACTTCCACCGACTCCTGGCGCCACCACGCCGTCCAAATCTTGTGGTTGGTCTCCACGAGCTGCCGAAACGACGTGGGCCAATTCAAGTCGATGCAGCACCACCGCGAAGTTGAAGTCATTCGAGGCCCGGCCAGCTCGACCAGAGGAAGCATGACAGTACAGCGCCAGCCATGCCAGTCTGGTACGATGCCACCAAACGGATAAAGTCGCGTGAAAACAACACCATATTGATCCCACACCACTGCGTGGCCATCGTCAGGTTGAGTTTTGAAATGCACAACACGTCCCTTCTTGTCTGTTGTGATTTGTTGGAGTGATCATCCGATGGGCCAACCTGTATATGTATAGTTGTACAGTGTCTGTTCACGACCTTGCAACAACACATCATCATCACACACTTGCCTGTAACGAGGATATTGATTGAAGTGTTCAGCTCGACTTGACGAACGCAATGACATTTACGTAGTTGCGTGCCCTGAGGCGGTCCGCCATTGATATTGTAGATATATGCGCGGTAGACGGGATCGACAACACAGTTCAGTATTCATACCGTGAACGGAGAAATTCGATTCCAGAGAGATTTCAAACAGGTCTCGACCTAGGAGGCCCTTGCACGGCTGTGTGCGCAACTGTGGTTAATCGGTACTAGTGTATAGAATCGGACTACAATAGTTAGTACAATCACGGAACTCATTAAACTTACAGTTAATAGCGGAATCTGTGAAAAGGGCAGCGGAATCGGATAAGCATAAGAAATAGAGGTTATCCGAACAGGAGGGGTTCCATTCGGTGGTTTCGTGTGCTATGAGCAGGTGGACAAGCGAGGATGACTTGGCGCTGTTGATATAGGACAACCATTCCTCCAAGATCTAGTCATGAAGTCTTGGGGGGTGCTCGCGTGCAACTTGCTTAAAGGAACTCGATGTTGACGGCAAGAAAACATCGCACAGGTTCCACTTGATACTCGACAACCACGAAAAGTTCCAGAAGGAATATGTGTATTTGTGTGGTGTCGACCGACGGTATGAGTGTGAGCAAAAGTCTGCGACGACGGGCAGGCCTCGCGAAGCGACAACGCTTCACAACCATGACAAGTTCGTCCACAGACAGAGCCAGAACACCATGTTCTGATAGAGAGCATCCCCACTGCCCTGTCAGTCAGGTAGCAGCGTCTGCTAGCTGTGTAGGAGGTTTTTGTGCCTTCTAGAGGCTTTTTCCTCAGAGTACTGTAGAAGTCAGCGCAGACATTTGGTCACGGAACATCATTGGATGTCGTGGTCAATCATAGTTAGTTTTGATTGGCTGGTTCTTTCCAGCAGAAGTAATTCACTTCTAGTTATTCCTCCTGCTCCCACGTGTGTTCCTGCCTACAATAATCCTGTCAGTGGAGAGGGCACTGACAGGATTATTGCAAAGTAGTAGCTGATTCCTTATGTTCATTCCGGATGTGGAAATCTATTTATACAGCGAAATGGTCTAAATTTACTGTTAATCCGTATCATTTTTCTCACAGATGCAAGCATGCACGGATTGAGACGTGAATTGCGAAATCTCCCTCCCTACTAACGTTACAGTGTAATTCTTGGTACTTCGGAGTATTTATTACCAAAAAGTTATTGAATATAGAGTATAGAGGCCCTCCCCGAACACAATCCCTCTTGTAATTAATATTATCCCCATTGCCTGATAAGTTTTCTTATGTTCAATGGTACCCCTAACTTTTTATGATGATCCACTTTTAATATTTGAAGTTGGGCAATTTGCCATTATCCGAAATTTCAGAGTACGGATAATTGCCCCGTGGTGTCTAAAACTATAAACGCTACACGATATTAATAACTGTGAGCTCGTCCTCCTAGCGGGTTAATGGTAGTATTTCATGAAAAACTTGTGATCTGAAAGTGTGTACTCGAAGTGTGTACTATAATAACGTTAACGTTAGCACTACAGTACCGGTAGTAGTACCGCCAGTACAGAACATTGTATACTGTAGTGGAGGTTTTAGACCTCAGGTGACGGGCACTGTAGTAACATCGTTTTTCTACCAATGAAATTTCGAAATTCAACGTAACTTTAGCCGAGACTTCAAATTAAGAGTGTAAAACTCAGCTTACAAGCGAGGAAAGCTCAATTCCCAACAACAATTTTAAATTCCCTGCTGTCTTCATGGGGAGGACCATCTTGTTCTAACCGACATGAACCTATTCAGCGCGTTTTAGTCCCCAGTTAGGCGTTTTTCAATTGTCACATCCACTCTTATTCATATTTTGTATGCATGGCTGTAAAAATATCCACCAACCCAATCGCCTCTCCAAATCACCAAATCAATATAACCTATAAAACGCCTTCTGGTATTCGGTCTCGTCCAATACACAGATCTCATCGTGACTGCCTGTGACAGATGACACAGGCGTCCCAACTGGCTGCGGCGGCAACAGCGCGGCGCCGTGGTCGAGACATAGGCACGCCGATCATGGATGAAATCAGCTACACCCCTGACTTCAACGAACCGCCCTCACCCCATGCCACGCCGGACTCGGACCTCTCTGGCTGGTTGTGGATGAGGAGCTCGCTGCTCGGTCGATGGCGGCATCGGTATTTCAGCTTTGCCCATGGCTTGCTGAGCTACTTTGAGTCGTTTCCGTCGGAAGAGTTCCTCAAACACCATACGTTGTCTTCGTCGTCCCAGCCTGGCAGTCCAAGGCCTTTCCTGCACGGCACCATCGGAACAGGTGCCCAGCCGCGTGGGGTCCTTCGTGTCGCGCATATTGAAGAAATCAACAACAAGCTCGGGTTCAAGGTGTTTGCCGCCAGCGGCAAAGTCATCGAAATCCGCGCGCCTCGCTCAGACATTCGGCAGACTTGGCTCGCGGCGCTGCGCGCGACCGCCATCACTCGGTCGCGGTCGTGGTCGGCATCCAACCACCACCATCATCCCCACGATCACTTGTCTCCGTCTGGTAAAGCGGTCAGCCTCGGCTTCATGCGGGCCACCGATCCCCTTCACGGCCTCCTCCGGATGGACCCCACCCAACGAGACACCCTTCGCATCGATAAATGTGGATGGCTATTGAAACGGTCGGATATTCTGCGCCGATGGAATCGCTACTACTTTGTCCTCCAAGACCGCATGCTGTCGTATTACGTATCGGACAAACCGTACGCCGTCCCGCGTCGCCGTGGCTACATCCAAGGGGCTCGTCGAGAGCCCAACAAGCACGACTCGGTCGTGGTCGTGTCGCTCAGTGCGGGGCACGACTTGCACCTGCGTCTGCCCCACGGGTCGCCCTCGGACTGCTTGAGCGACTGGTTTGATGTGCTCGTGGCCACGGCCATGTTGCCGCAGGACTACATCGGAAGCAGCAGTCTGCGACACGACGCCGCGAGACTCGTCAGCAATGATTCTACCGACGATAGCATCGACCAGTCATTCATTTGACCATGGTGTCGTCTGGATTCTTATTTAAGTTGCACTGACGCAGCACAATATGTACACTAGTACTGTACAAAGTGTGATCATCCATCACAGGGACCATATACAATTTGGGCCATCTCGTTTGGTGTGGTCTTCGTGCAAACTCCCCAAGAAAGGCGGGTGTCGCAGAGTTCAAATTGCCTATTATGCCAATGGGAAGTAAATATATGACATGTATATATCGCTAGCTATCTAGTCAGCGTTTCCCAGTATATGCAACCAGTCATACTCCAAGGGTGAATACCTACCTACTTGGACGTTCGTTCGCAATTCATTCGGCCCGTTCGTTCTGCTGTTAAACAATAATGGTTGCCATGCCATGTCGATCAATACTGTAGTCGGTTGTGTACACAACGTAGTACTACTAGCACGTACTATAGTACGTACTGTAGTCCTGAGGAGGCTCCATCCTGATTTATACTAGTAGTATTACAGTACTTGGTGAAATTGCCACATTCGACAATACTGATGGATTTGCATTTGCGTGCTGCTTGTGATCAGGGTATGGGAAAAAAATATGTTTTCACAATTTTCCGGAGTAAAAACAATAGTATTGTATTGCAGCGCATGGCCAATATGTACAATTATTGTATTGCTTGGTGCATTTAAATATTTAATTGTCGAATTGTCAATTACTTAAATGACCAATAATATTTCGATACAAATAGAAGATAAAATATTGTTGGCTCGTTGGCTCAAATAAATTATTTTTGGATCTCGCACAAGCAATTATTGTAATTGTCCACCGCTTTGCAATATATTATTTTCTATATTTAATTGTCAATTCTTTTTTCCCATACCCTGCTTGTGATGGCTCGATCGGTGATTCAAACATGAAAGGATCCCGTGAAGTGTTATTGGAGATTCGGTATGAATTTCCGGACCCTGTTCAATCGAGCGAATCGAGCACCATTCTCTCCCATTGGTCAATCCGAAATTTCTTGTCGCTGATTGGCTACAATCCATTTTCGAGTTTCTACTAGAAAGGGTAAAGTGGATAATGGCCAATCAGATGTCTCGGCTCTATTTGTATGAACCATGCAAAATTGGGAAATTTGAAGAAAATCGACAATACTATATACTATCCCGAGTGTCCGTTCCATATCCACTCTAGCTACTGCATGGCTAAAGCACTCCAACCACTGCATACATATACCAACATGCCATGCAAGTCGAGTATACATGCCTAGTATAATTCTACACGCGCTTGTCTTTTTGCGACGACTGGTGTCGCGCCACGACCGATGCAAACGATGTTTCCAGTGCATGTTTGTCCAGATGCAATCCAATCACAACCACTTGAGACGTCAACGCTCGTTGCTTGGTCTTGTGCTGTTGGTCGGTGGCTGGGGCTAGCGTATACGTGTCCAAGACACACTGGAGGAGCCACACATTTCCACCTTCGTCGAGCACAAACCCTTTCATCCGAAAGATGCCGCGCTTCCAGTGCGAGTCCACCACGTTGTTCAACCTACACATTGTCGCAAATACAAACAACACGTCGTCACACATTCCTCAATGTAGTGCATTTTGTGTTATATTCGGGTCAGTATAAGTCGATTCGAAATTGGAGTGGGGGGGTATATCACCAAATCGAATTCAGACAATCGATATACGACCAATCAAAACCCAGAACGCAAATCAAGTAGCCAATCAAATCCCCACTCTTCGACCAATGCAACAACACCAAATCAGTGTGCGACTGAAATTAGTGTGATACTGGACGATCTTTACATAAACAAAGTATCGATCGATGATAGATTTGGCAAAGAATCCGCACAAAAGTCAACCGAATTTAGGGTAATAGGACAATACCAGTGGCCAAACGCGCCCAAGTCCAACGGTGTGGTGGCGGACAGCACGACCGTGTCCAAATCCTTGGTATGTTTGGATTCGACGACCGCGTCAAAGTCGAACCGACTCGCGTCGAACGTGCGAATATGCAGCAGGTCCGCGATCGGGAGCCGCGAATGGCGGCACTCGACCACGGTCGCGTCGGGGTTGATGGTTCGGATGTGCGCTTTGAGCTTGCCCACTTCGATGCCCTTGCCATCCACCAAGTCCATCTTGTTGAGAGCGATAAGGTCGGCGTACACGAGCTGCGAGTGCATTTCCACGGGCCAGTGCTGCTGCGAGTCCATTTTCAGCAGCGACGACGTGTCCACCAACGCCACGACGCCATCCAACCGGAACCGACTGGCGCGAAGCTCGAGAAACGTCTTGAGGATTGGCCCGGGGTCGGCAACTCCCGTGGTTTCCACGATGAGGTAGTCAAAGCGGTCGGTGGCCGCGGTCTGCATCTCGAGCAGCTGGTCCAGAATGCGCTCCAGCTCGTTGGTCGTGGCTGTGGCCGGCGCGGAACAGCACATGCATCCGTTCTGCATTACCACGACGCCTTCCCGTGGGTGGTTGGCAATGAGGTCATGGTCGATGCTCACTGCGCCCAGCTCGTTCTCCAACACCATGATCTTGAACCCGTGGTCTGGCGACGACAAAATTGAGTTTAGCAGCGTCGTCTTGCCCGAGCCCAAGAAACCCGTGAGGATTGTCACGGGAATCACGGCCTTGGTCGGTGAAGTCGCTACCGCAGCGTCCTGCGTCAAAGTCGTAGTCTTTTGGGCAATACGAGCCTCCTGACGGAACTGCTTAAACCAGGCAATCACATTGGACAATACAATGGACAGCACGAGGAAGATCGCAGCGTAGAGATAGAGCTGCCATTGCGGCGTCGTTGACGTCAACGGCGGCTTGGGCGACATGACCAAGCAACCAAATTATGTGCACGAGCGCAAAAATCAAACGTTGCCAATATCCGGTTAATGTATCCGGACAACCGCCAACCTGCATTCTGTAGTGTAATAAAATCACAGGCGAGATCTTGGATTTTGTATGAAAAATAAAGCGTCAAATGCAACGAAAATTCTATGCCAGCATCATCTCCCCTCGACTAATTGTTCAGCACGGACCGCCCCAGCATGCGGAACGATGCTGTGATCTTGGTCTATGCCGGCCAGGGAGGCAACAGCAACAATGGAGGTGGAGGAGGCGGTGGAGCTCCTCCTGGCATCATGATACTCGGACGCGAAGAACAGGAATATCAAATGAACATGCAGCGAAATCGTCTGCAACGGCTCCTCAGCACGACCATCTTTGTGTGCTTCTTCCTGCTCTTCCTAGACGGCAACACGCAACAAACCCACATGCGAAGTACCACACCGTCCATCTCCGACAAGGTTTGCCTTTGACAATATCTCGTTCTTCTTCATGACCGACCATGCGCATGATGATGGCATGTCGGTAGTGGCCCTACACGGACAACGCCACGGAGCGCACGACCCAAATCCAATACTTTCAGTCGCTGCTTGATGCGGAACGCACATTTCGTCATCCTGGACAGGTCCCCAACGAACTCTTCTCCGCGCCGCCCGTCATGTCATTCATACCTAGGTCATCGTGTCAGACAACATCACGGGGGTGTACAAGGGCGAATGGACCACGGTGTCGAAACCAACGTTTCAAGCCGACCTAGCACTGCGGGAAGCCAACCGTTCCGTGCATCCCGCGTACCGTCCGTACTACGGCAGTGCCGCCCACGCTCCTTCGGACATACCGCCCACAGGGTCGTCCACCGGCGGCGTCATTTGGCTCATCTTGAGCGAAAAACCGTCGCCCGTCGAGGACGTCAACGCCGACGTCGCGTACGTGTCGGGGCAAGTCATCATGCACGACAAGTCCCTAGCCATGACCATCCTGCCCGTCCAAGGCGTGTTCCTTCGGCGCATTGGCCGCCTCACGCTCTTCGGCAACATGCCCGAAGCCAGCATCGACTTGGTCTACCCTGCCATGAGTTTGAGCAATGCCACCACGATTGCAACCCCAGATGACAATGAAGATGAAATGCACTTTGAAGTGTCCCCACCACGATACAATCCGTAAGCTACTTATTCTCAAGTGTATTTATAACTGAACTATATGTGACACGATATGGCCAGCATGTGACAACGCGAAACGATGTTTGTGTGCTCACGTGGGGATATTTCTGTATCATATTTATATATATATATCGTGGTTGTGTAAATATATATGTCTGTTTATATACAAGATATGATTCGAATAATACTAATAAAGGATTCCATGGGTTGTCTAGTTTGGAGACTACATCCAGTAGTGCTTGCTACTTCGAATTTTTATGGGAAATGATTGGTTGAATAACTTTGATGGAAATCTCAATTTTAGCCAATCACATCATGATTTCAAACCTTATTAGCTATGATATTGACCAATCAGACTTTAAGATTTCGATTCAAAGTGTAGTTATGCATACAGTATGATGTCGTACATGCATTCATTCGACAATGAGGCAATGCTACTGTTGTGAATGATGAATATATGTATGTAGCGTTCACTACGTACTTGTGGGTACCCTATCATACAATTGCATGGAACCCACCATTTCCCCTTGTACAGGTTTATGGGAAGCAACCAACGCCTACGCACGGGCGGCGGCGGGTTCCCGTCCCCACGCGAGCCCTGTGTATACACAGTCGACATGGACGTGACCCGCGGCACCAGCATCACGCCAGGGGATGTCAATTCCGTGGGCGCATTGGCTGGTTTGGCGGGCAGCGACGTCTGCGGTCTGTACTGGCGCGCGAACGCGACGTTCGTCGAAGAAAACTTCAACACATTTTACACCAAGGCGAGTGGGTACGCCATTCTCATGGCGCTACTGTGCCTCGTACAGATCTACGTCCTACTCAAGCAGCTGCAGCTGAGCAGTACGCAGGCCGCGGCCGCCAAAGTGAGCCTCGTCACTGTGGGCATGCAAGCTGTGGTCGACTCGTACTTGTGTCTGCTGCACCTGACCACGGGCATCGTGGCCCAGCACATTTTCACGCTGTTTGCAACCGTGTCGTTCTTCCAGCTGATCATATTTTCGATCTTTGAGATGCGCTTTTTGCTCGTGATCTGGAAAGCGAGGCGACCTCACCAGTTTACTGAGGGGTGGAATATCATGCGAAGGGAACTCACGACGTTGTACTCGAGGTTTTACATTTCGCTGCTCGTGGGGCTGTGCGTGATTTACTATGGATGGGTACGTACGGACCCCAAACAGTGGTTGGCCAAGTAGGGTGATGGGATCGAGTCGATGAATCTGCTCCTGCCACTTGATGTATATATCTATCTATATATATTATATATATATATATATTATTTTAGATGGATGGATTGGATATAGCAGTGGTTTGTTTTTGGATATATACACTGTACCTATGTTTGGATGTTGCCACTGGTAATGAATGACCTTTGTCTTTCCTTTATGGATTGAATGTATTTGGCCAATTATCAATAGCAATACGTATATATATATATATACATATTTGGATGAATGTATCAATGCAAAGGGAGATAGTACACATATAACTTGTTTCCATGGTTATATCAATGGCCATAATATATACATATATGGATGGAAGCATCTATGCCAATGGATGTATATTATATATCTATATTATCTTATGTACATGGTGGTATTATATAGCAATGGCTCCACGTGCTGGTATTTGTGGCGTCGTCGTTCTGGGTACCCCAGATCGTCCACAACGTCCATCGGGAAGTGCGCAACCCATTGGAAAACGGGTACATCTGCGGCATGTCGGCCACTCGGCTGTTCTTGCCCCTCTACGTGTTTGGCTGCCCCAAGAATTTCCTCTCAGCCATGCCCATAGTAAGACCCTTCCAAACACTTAGTTGTGCTCATATATATAGTTTCCACTGCAGTACCATCCCAACGTGTGCATTGCACTCGTGCTGTGGATGGGGGCTCAAGTGGGGGTGCTGCTCCTCCAGCGGTACTGGGGGCCCCGCTTCTTCGTCCCAGCTATGTTTCTTCCCGTAAAGTACAACTACGAACGGCGCATGGATGCGGACCAGCTGTCGTTGCTGCGACTCAACCAAGGCGACGAACTAGACTGTGTCATTTGCATGGTATGTCTAGTTGGATTCGGGTCGTGCTATATTGTTGACTATATGGATGAGGATGTACTGATTTATATATATATATATATGATCTTTTTGATGGAGGTGAATGTCGAACTATATGTCTTGATATTATATATATATATGCATTGGGTGTCGAAAGAATATACGAGGTTTATATGTTTTGGGTAAAAATAATATAATAATTGGGCTTGGGGGGTATATATAATAGGTGGAGCTCGACCTGGAAGCCCGAGACTACATGATTGCCCCGTGTGACCATGTGTTTCATCGCCCGTGCTTGCAAGAATGGATGCAAGTGAAAATGGAGTGCCCCACCTGTCGAAGCGTGCTGCCGGAACCGTAAACTATATCTAAGGATATATATATATATAGTATTCGCACACACATTTATATATATATATATATATAGTATTCGCACACACATTTATATATATATATATATATATATATAGTATTCGCACACACATTTCGTACGTGTCTTGGTAACGTCCTTTGCACAGCACAGTACGAATAACAAAGTATTCAAATTCAGGCATGTCTGTGCTAACAGTGTCACAGGGATTTCCATTCGTTGCATCGAGATATGTTATTGCCCCAAATTTGGCTGACGTTTGTGCTGAATTGTCAAATCTATTGATCGATTATTATTCTTTGTTCTGAAAACTTTGTATGTTTCTGAGGGGCTTGGGATCACACTAATTGAAGTCACACACTAAATTGACGTTGTTGATGGTTTCCTGCAATCTGATTGGCTAAATCCTTCTGCAATACATTTGGTTGTGTCGTCGATTCATTTGCCATGTCGCTCCATTTAAAAAGAAACACACAACAAAATACTAGATGTTAATACTATTGTACCGTTCCAACCTTTGCTGTTGTTCGGCATCGAAAGGAACTGGGCGGGGACGGAGGTGCCCCACGAGACGTGTCGCCATTCACCTCTTATTGTTGAGCGACATGACGGGCGCATTCAGTGCCCTAACTGTTATTAACATTTTAAATATTTAGTTAAAGAAGGTCTTACTTTACTGTTAAGCGGATGGCGTCGGCACAGTTTGTGCTGTGTTGGGTCCAAGGAACATTGTATTGTGAGCCTCGCAGAACCAGCATACTATCGTACGTTAAGTGCCCGCTGAGTGATTTTAACTTTACAGCGTAATATCAATATACTATAGTACGTAGTTAACGTGATCGACCATTGATCAGCCAAATTTTCAAAATTTTCAAACTAAAATATCTCAATTGGTTTTCATGGCATTTCATTGAATCCAACATTTCCGGAAAGCTGACGGAAAGCTCTTTCGCGGCATATTCAAATGTATCGATTTAAACAATTCTTGGCAGGCCAAAAAAATGTCAAAGTTCGGCACTTTACACAGTCGACCATTGATCGGCCAAAATTTACACTTGAATTAAGTATTGAAAAAAGTTGGGTCAATTTTTCGCTCCAAAAATTCAAAGGCATGTCTGTGCTAACAGTGTCACAGGGATTTCCATTCGTTGCATCGAGATATGTTATTGCCCCAAATTTGGCTGACGTTTGTGCTGAATTGTCAAATCTATTGATCGATTATTATTCTTTGTTCTGAAAACTTTGTATGTTTCTGAGGGGTTTGGGATCACACTAATTGAAGTCACACACTAAATTGACGTTGTTGATGGTTTCCTGCAATCTGATTGGCTAAATCCTTCTGCAATACATTTGGTTGTGTCGTCGATTCATTTGCCATGTCGCTCCATTTAAAAAGAAACACACAACAAAATACTAGATGTTAATACTATTGTACCGTTCCAACCTTTGCTGTTGTTCGGCATCGAAAGGAACTGGGCGGGGACGGAGGTGCCCCACGAGACGTGTCGCCATTCACCTCTTATTGTTGAGCGACATGACGGGCGCATTCAGTGCCCTAACTGTTATTAACATTTTAAATATTTAGTTAAAGAAGGTCTTACTTTACTGTTAAGCGGATGGCGTCGGCACAGTTTGTGCTGTGTTGGGTCCAAGGAACATTGTATTGTGAGCCTCGCAGAACCAGCATACTATCGTACGTTAAGTGCCCGCTGAGTGATTTTAACTTTACAGCGTAATATCAATATACTATAGTACGTAGTTAACGTGATCGACCATTGATCAGCCAAATTTTCAAAATTTTCAAACTAAAATATCTCAATTGGTTTTCATGGCATTTCATTGAATCCAACATTTCCGGAAAGCTGACGGAAAGCTCTTTCGCGGCATATTCAAATGTATCGATTTAAACAATTCTTGGCAGGCCAAAAAAATGTCAAAGTTCGGCACTTTACACAGTCGACCATTGATCGGCCAAAATTTACACTTGAATTAAGTATTGAAAAAAGTTGGGTCAATTTTTCGCTCCAAAAATTCAAAGACTATGTCTCAAAGGTCTACTAAATTTCAACTGGTATACGTATTCAGAGTGAGAGCTGCAAGTATTGTTCAACGTTGAATTGTTTACCTCCATCATATTATACAGGTAAAATTTATGACAAGGATTTATTTTGTCCAATGAAACATCGTATTAATTTCAATTGGACGAAACACCTTGGCCGATCGATGGTCATTTGGCCGATCAATGGTCGATCACGTTATTGTGAATTCGCTATAATCTTTTAAAATTCGCGCGGTTTGTCTAATCAATATGGAATCACGCTGGAGTTCTGATTGGCTGAATGTACTTGTGTTTTCTGTAAGAGCCAATCAATCAAATCCACTCAAAATTGGATTCGCCCATAGCGTCGATTCGTGATTCGATTCGATTCGATGGGGTAACGTTATGGAAATCTGTACCGAATCCACAATACTAACATGTAAATTGAATTACATATTTATACCCAAGAGTTTGGTCAACTACATTGCCCAATTTGACGGTGTCGCCGATGTATTCGTATAACTTGCGACACTGTCAAATCGTGTGCAAACGATTTACGGATCGCTTGCAGATTCCGTTTGACATAATTCCACTCAATTTGACCATGCCGGCATAACGTGCGTCCTCAAACGATGAGTAACTCGGCACATTTTAGGACGTGACAGTGAGTACACTTTTGTGAGGATCTTAAACATCGAGGCTGAGGGTACATGTAAACATGAATTATCGTAAAATTTGCCGATATATCGAAATAACTTAGTGTTCAGAATCTGAAGAAGCCGTGTTTTGAGGGGTCAAACAGTTTCAGAGGTAGATTTTGTTGAAGTGTACGAGAAAACACTTGTACGGATAAGGGTCGGGTACTCTGATTCTTATTATCCGGATAAATACAATTCAAAGCATGGCAAAAGTTGGGCGATCGAGCGCGTATGCGTACGTCCTCCGGCGGTCCCTCGGGGAAGTGCCGCCTCGTGAGTACGTTGAAGACATCTACGCCGAAGGGTCTCGGCAATTGGGTGTCAACCAGAAGAAGGTGATCCACAGACAAGGCATGAACGTGTGGCACATGGACTTGGACCCGGTGGAGCATCAGTTCCTGCTCGTGGGGGCCGGGACCGGTGCCCTATACATATTCGACGTGTCAGTCTTCGACACAGTTCCCCTTCCTGAGGATTCCAGTTCGATCAAGCCCATGTGCATGGTTAAGCCTTTGAAGCGCCCTCGCGACGTGCGAACGTTTGACGCCGCTTACACCCAGGTACTGATCCTACACCCTCGCAAGCCCAGCTCAGCGCGCACCTCGTTAGAACCTCCCTGGACACGCGGGCGGTATCACTGCCGTACAATGGTACCCAGTCGACAACGGCATGTTCGTCACGGGGTCCCAAGACAAGACCGTGAAGCTTTGGGATGCCAACGAAATGGAAGTCGCGAGTGCGTTCTGTCTACACGACGTGGTGCATGCTGCGTCGTTTTCTCCGTGCGGGACGTCCTTGCTTGCTGTCGGCACTGACCACGCCGACGTCCGTCTCTGCGACGTGGTTATTGGCGCCAGCACCCACCGCCTCCTCGGCCATCGCGCCGCCGTTCGATGTGTCGCTTGGTCTCGGACTGATGAATTCCACTTGGCCACCGGTGCTGCCGACGGCACCATCCGTCTCTGGGGTACGTACAAGACATGTACATACTCTCGCTCGTTACAAAGTTGCATCAAAGGTCGCTGATTCGTTGCTACGGATCGTACATTTGTTCAGGTCGTCGTGTCCAACTTGCATTTCGATCATTTCTATCGTGGATTCGGTACACATTTGTAGACATCATCACGCTATTGGCTAATCCCATTTTGAGTGGATTTGATTGGCTCTTACATAAAGACAAGTATAATCAACCAATCAGAACGAACGCCAGTATGATTCGATAAACCACGCGAATGGGTTGTAACTTTAGAGCGAATTTTCACAATCTTGTGTGTCTAGATATTCGACGGTCGGGGGCGTCTGCGTGCTTGATGGTACTCAATCAAGATGGGCTACCCGATAGTAGTATTCCCCGCCAAGAGGCTACGGTACGACGTACCTCGAGATCGTACAAGTGGCCAGATGGATCGTCCAAGTGGCACTTTGCACGTGATGAATTAGGGGCCGGTGTCTAAACGACCTCGCCGACACGAGGACGATCGCCGCAGCAGTAGAAGTGTCCATTTCTCGAATGCACAAGCCCATACGTCGGCGGTTCAGTCGCTTCGGTTCACTCCAGATGGTCGATTTATTGTCAGTTCTGGCCGAGATAACTGCATGCGGCTGTGGCATGCCACGTCAGGCGTCCATTTGGTTCGTACGAGCTTGAACATTTTGCCGACTTTGCCCTAACATTGCAAGTAGTTTCACAACTATGGCGTGATTACATGCAACGGACCTCGCCCTGTGACTGTCGGGCTCGCGCAAGAAGGCGGCAGCGACTCGACCGTGGTACAGTCTAGTATTACTAGGACGACTACTATAGTAGTTGGGGTTGGCCTGATTGGTAGGTATTTAGGTGTACCATCCATTCGGAACCAACGGCGCGGTGGTGTCACAGCTGTTGCACGGGTCAGACCCGTGCACCAAGCTCACGGCACACTACAGTCGAGTCACGAGCTGTATATACCGACCTACGACTAGGGTACACCATGCAAGATATGTATGAGGTTGTTCATTCGGAGGCCATGATAGGAGCTGATTACGGGTGGGGAAGATGGACTAATTATGCTGTGGAGTCCCCCGAGTGTCCAGGTGGATCGGACATGTGCTGCTGGCAGAGACGGAGAGAGGGCCGATGGTGATGGCACAATGTCCGACGGCGCCGCCGCGCAAGATGAAGATGCATGGAGCGACGAAGAAGGAAGTGGAGAAGTGTTTGTGCCGCCCATACTATTGCAACAACACGCAGCAGGCGACAACAGTTACAACTCGGCTGTAGTTTGAAGTGGAGTACTATTGATAGTATAAATTATCATGGGAAAAATGGATTCTTAACAGGTTCTCGTGGACGATGTAACTTGAGCCAATCGGATTTCCGAAACCATCGGTTTTTATCCAATCAAACAATATATATATATATATATATATATTGTCGATTTGATACAAATTTGGGGAGGGGTGCAATCGAATCGCGCCGACCAAATCGATCCACAATCGATATGATTGGTTGAATTTCATTTAGAAGGTTTTGATTGGCTAATAATTTTGAGCTCATCTGATGTAGCCAATCAAATCGATTTAAATTCCAACGAGAAACCACGCCACAACACGAAATTTCACTCGAAAGCACAATATACTACGTAGTATATTTCCAAAATTCGCGTGGTTTGTCTAATCAATATTGAATCACGGTGGAGTTCTGATTGGTTGAATATACTTGTCCTTTGTGTAAGAGCCAATCAAATCCACTCAAAAATTGGATTAGCCAATAGCGTCGATTCGGTCGATTCGGCGGCGAGATTAAATTTGTACCGAATCCACCATAAATCCTTGTAACGTTTCGCATTTTGCATCAAACTGAGATTGATTGTATCGAATTTAAGAGGTTTGTCGGTTACATGTGATTCGATTGCGATCCTCGAAGGCCATTACGAGGATGGACCGACAGCAGCAGGTGCGGGTCCATCTGAAGCGACTTCTAGACATTCCGTCAGACACGGGGCTACTGGGCTCAAACTCGTGTGACCCGTACGTTGTGATGGAGATTCATGGCGTCCACAAGACACCGCGGCCGCACGTGAGCAAGGTCGTGCCGTTCACGGTCAACCCGACATGGAATGCCGAGATGTACGTTGTGACCATGCTCGAGACGGAGCGCGAGCGGTGTATCCTGCATGTATCAGTGTTCGACCACAACGACATTCTCCCTGACGAGTTGGTCGGCGAAGTACATATCCACTTGGGGGACCTACCCACTGGCATCCACAACCACGTCTCGCGCCTGTTTCCCATCACCACGTCGAGCAGCCGACGCCGCCGCCGAGCGACTCCATCCAGCACCCCTTGCCCCCAAGTTGAGCTTGCGTTCGATATCATCACACAGTCCGTCAAGGACGACACGATCCAGCTCGAGGCGTGGGAACACCAACGATATTCCATCGTCCGGCGCGAATGGTCGAAAGATTTCTTGCGTTTGCCCCCCATGGACCCATATCCTTGGACATCCACCGACAACCAGCTCCCCATTGGCGGCTTCCACATGTCCGACACCACCGCTGCCACCCCCACGGGGTTTGTGTCGCGCGTCGGATGGGTATACGACGTCCGTCTCGGCGACGACAATGGGTGGCAGTACGCTCGATGCTTCAATGGACCCTGGCGTCGTCAAGACAGCTTCACCATGCAAGTTCGCAAACGCCTTTGGATCAACTTTTGCACGAAAGTGCCGTCGCCGTCATTCGTTCGGACCGTTCCTGTAAATGCTGCAGCGGCAGACAGCTCCTAAATAAGTAGTAGTTAGTACTTCGAAGTACTACCATAGTAGTTACCCGTGCATGTGTTGTACTACAGTATTGTAGGGGACAGTGGGGAAGGTTCTCAGCCAGTTTTAGATGAATGAGGTAACGTTAAATAAACAAAACTAGAGATCTATTCTGAAAGTGTTGTTTACTACTAGTATAAATCATCTTCCAAACGTAAACGCCATTCTTAATGCAAGTTGAAAGTTTTTGACACGATGGTTTGTTAACGTTAGGGTAAAATAATAATCATTTGATTATTCGCCAACAAGGAATTGTAAGTAAATCTTTTCATTGGTTTCAAATTGACTGCCAAACGTGACACATTGAAGAACAGATAGGGTGCGTCTGGTAACCGGAAATATTCATCCCCAAAACCCCATTTTGGGGCCGAATTCAACAAATCTGATCAATATTGAAACATGTCTAGTTCGAAGAGTATTAACCCAAATCCAGTAATTCTACGTGGGATTTACTCGTTGAAGAGGTTCAAAACGCCATATTACAAAATAGACCTTTTACCTCAATTTTGAAAATGGCATTATGGTTAATCCCATTTTGCGAGAAAATGGAATATTATTTTTGAAATTTTACCAGACAATTAAGCACGTGAGTTTACTGGTATCATATCCTTCACCAGATTCGTCCGCAATGACGCGTCCAATGGGTGCCTGGCCGAACCCAAGACATTCCCGGACGCTGGTCCTGACTTTGGATCGTGTTCCGGCTGGGTTGCATAAAGTAACATTACTGGTGACATTTGACCATCAAGAGCTTTTCAGTAGGAGGAGAGACGTGTGTTTTTTCTCCATAACTTTTTTTAATCAAGGCCACTTGCAAATGCGAGAGATGCTAAATTAAGCTCATATGATTACGTGTTTACCAGGCGTTTCACCGTTCGTATTTATGGAATTTTTCGTATTTATACTACAGTTTGCATCGGTCGTGTATCATCCCCCATTGTCCCCTACAAATAGTTACTGCCGTGTTTCCCTCGCTTCATTATCTATGATTTCTCCGGTTGGACCTGTAACATATTGGTCAATGACGAACATTATTATGGTTCCAGTTGGGCATGCACTGTTAGATTAGACAGAGATACCCAATCACCATGCGTTAAAGGATTCTGTCCAATCAAAAATAAGTCTTGTTTTGGGTTACAGTATTACCGGTACCAATGCGCATGCCTAAATAGTCCGCTTGGAGATTTGCCGGTTTTGATCAGATTTCACTGACATTTTCATAACGTTAGGTGCTGAAGCGGCGTCGAATCGAATCTCGCCGCCAAATCGAATCATGAATCGACGCTATTGGCTAATCCAATTTTGAGTGGATTTGATTGGACAATCAGAACTCCAGCGAGATTCAATATTGATAAGACAAACCACGAGAATTTTGGAAGTTTTTATAGCGAATTCACAATACTTGACGGCCTTGCCTTTCATGACTTCACGGGATGAGGCCTGCAAGACAAGACTGTCCAGTACTCACGTCGTGCTGGGAACCAGTTGAGGATAGAGTAGTTGTAGCGAGGCGTACATCACAGTTGGAAGGCTTAGCGCTTCTTATACGAGTCTCAGCGTATACCCGAGACCTTTGCTTCTCGATATCCAATCAACCATGACAGGATTGCACAACCTCACACGACCCCATGGCAAGCGGCGTATGAATTGGTGCGCGAGAACACATCTATGGTGCACGAATAGATGCATCGAGTCTAAGAGGCACATCAATGCCCTAACGTTACTTGATGTCCTACTTGGAGCGATCACAGGTACAGTACTGTACCGGTAGCACGCGTTCGTATCGAGTTCAAATTGCAACAGTGGTCTTTTAGAAAGGGTTTTGATTGGCTGAACCATTCAGAAATTTTGTAAAAGGAGGGGTTTAAGAGTGGATTTTGATTGGCTAGTTCATTGTCAAATCGATTTGCCAAATCTATTCGATTCTACTGACGGCTCCAATTACGAACCGACTTGACAATACAAATGTCCTAATTCTGCGCGATTCGTAAAACCGATCACGAATCTTGCCGCGAAGTTTTTTTCATGGCTTTCCCCCCATTCCATAGAAATCACGAGATAAAAAGAAAAAATAGTGTAGCCAATCAGCGAAGAGTAATTTCAGACTGACCAATTGTGTGGTTTGGTCGGCGTTATTATTCGTACCAAATCAATAATATGTACTACGTGCTCGTCCAATGACACCACCTTAGATATTAATTGTGTATGCTCCCCAAACCCAATGGACTGGACCTATGATACCGGTATTTTCTCAAAACAAAAATGTTTATCCAATTCTACCAAGTATATTGGCCTCCTTCGATGCAAACCACTTTGCTGTTCCTTCTTTTGGCATCTGCTGCCAGTGTACCGTTCATTGGTGGGTCGTCCTACAAATGCTTGGGGGGTTGACTATCAATATCCTCTACGAGTTCAAACTTGCATTGCTCTGGATATAACGTTATCGCCCTCTCCCCAACACTGTACGCCCGTATAAGCAACCCCTACTTCGTTTTGAATCGAATATTCTCCCTAGTTGAGATATTTTCCCTGGTTGATATAAGTCCAACTCCGCCGCATTTCGCATTTAGAGCAACTCCACAGCATGTCAATAAATAAGGTAATTTGGTAAACCCCCTCCACAAAAAAAGTATATACGAAGTACGAAATATTGAGGTGCCCAATTCATAGTAGCCGGCGTTGGTGTCGTTTTCATTTGGGATCATTATTGGTAACATTATTATCGTTTAATACTATATTTACTCCTCGGTGTCTACAGATATTTGGGTGGCTGCATGTATCGCGATTTCACAGCGACGTGTTTGGCTACAGGCTGGGCCGCCACCCTTGACCTGAGCTCGGCCAAGCCAGGTTTAACCCCCGTTGAAAACGAAGGCGCTTTGCGCTTGAGCGTAAACGACGGGGCTGGTTTCAAGTGCAAATGGCTCGTTGGCGTGGTGGCTGTGCTGTCTTTGAGGGGGGGCGCCCCCCCTCCCCCCCCCACCGTTCCTGATACAGGCTTCTCCAGCACTGGTGGCGTCGTGGTTGTTACTGTCGGCAAACACGACACGGCAGCGGCGGCTGTTCCAGTGGCCACCGGCGACGGCATTGCTGGTGATGGCGTCGGTACGACGACGACGGGCGCTGCCCCGCCCAACTTTGTCTTGCGGTTCACAATGCGCTCCATGGCGAGTCGAGTTTTGGAGTGTTTTTCCTCGAGCTCTGTGTACGCGTACTGGAGTTTGTGGTGGTCGCTGACCGCTTTCTCAGCCACAGCTAGCTTGTGCCTTAATTTGTCGACAGTGTCTTGCAAAGTCGCTTTCTGGTGGAGTTCTGCGGTCACTTGGTCGTGGAGATTCGAGGGGTCGTCGATGCCCAGGACATGGACCAGCTGCCGATGCAGCGCCAGTGCCGAGTCCAGTTGATCCTTTGTGTCGGCCAAGATCGCGCCTTGCCGCTGCAGCTGCAGGTCGTACTCGTGGGCTTGGTCCCTGCATTTCTTCTCTACATCAAGCTCCATGCGCCGAGTTTGAAGTTGGCGCACTTGTTCGTCGAGCTGAATCTTCTTCTTCGTGTCCTTGATGGCCGATTCCACGTCCAAGTTGAGCTGCTGGTGCTGTAGTAGCTCATGGTCCTTGGAGTTGAGCTCTGCCTGCAGCCGGGAGATTTCAGCCTTGAGGAACGACGAGTCGGCTGCTTGCCGCTCGTTCTCGGCCTTGCTCCCCGCCAGGTGAATCTGCAACGTGGCATGCTCTTCGGTGAGATGCAACAGCTTCGACTTGAGTTGAGTCGACGTCGATTCCACTTCAGCCGACCGTGCATTCACGCTAGTGACTTCTTCGCGCAAGGCATTCACTTCGCCTTGTAACCGCGCGGCCCTTTCGACCATGACCTGCAGCTCGCCTTCTGCCCCGCGCTGCGCATCCTTGCTCATTCCTGCTTTGGCATTGAGTTGGCGGTGTACTTGGTCGAATTCCACTTGCATGCGTTCGATCGTGCCTTGGAGTTCCATGACCGTCGCGTCCTTGGATGCCACCAGTCCCCGAAGCTGTTTGTTATCCCCGTCCAATGTCTGGATGGCAAACTCTTGGTCCCGAAGGATCTTCTTCAGCATGTCCACTTCGGCCAGCTGCTTGTCCCGTGACTCGACTTCCGACTGCAGCGCCTGGATCCGACCCACACTCGCCTTCCACGCGGCATCCATCTTTTGTAGATTTGTCAACGCCTTCTCGTGCTTGGTGTTCGCGACAAGCAGCAACTCCTGATGTTCGACGAGACTTTGCTCCATTTGCATCAGCTCCTTCTTCATGATAAAGCTCTCCTCCTCCAACTCCTGCGCCGTTGCATCGCCGCCCATCCGTTGAAGCAACCGTTCCTACCAAGATGGCATAGTACAAGGAGTTCAATGTAGCCTTACTCACCCTTAAGTGTGCAACTTCCATCTTCAGATCCATTCGATCCCTCTCAGCTTGGTCCAAGCGTGTCTTGGTGCATCCCACCAGCTCGAACGCCCCGTCCGCCTTCCGCATCAATTCGAATTTTCAAATTGCATCAAAAGCACAGGCATCCGGATAATGTTTAGGCAGACGGTTAACAGCGCACATGGTATCCGGATAACAAGGACAATCACCTGCGTTTTGTATACTAGTATTCGTCCAATCAAATTAATCGATCAAAAAAACAAAGTGTCCGATTGACAGTTCCGAATCACTTATGTATTCGCGATAAAGTTTGATTGGCTCGAACACTGCGGGCATTTCAAGCGGACCAACCACATCTAGGGTGAACTTACAGTTACTACAGTCATATTCGGTTTCAAATATGTACTGTACTTGTATTTTTAGACGAGGGGTTTCACAGATGTCCCAGTTGTGCTTGCTTTGAACGTCCGAAGGGACACCGTGGAGGCGGCAACAGGAGCTTCATCACCTGTGGGGGCACATCCTGGCGGTGGAGCAGGCAGCCGACGTACTGTATGCCCGACTCAAAGTTCATCCGGTTTACGCGCATCTCACCGACGATGGTAACGATGGCGGACACGATGCGGTTCAGAGTCCACGCCAGTTCTGGTGAAAGTGTGATTCGATACCACCCGCTCACGGCTCGGTTTGTGGGCCAGCCCAAGCTCGAGCAATTGTACATGGAGAAAGCGGCCAAGGAGTGGTCGCCGCGGTCGTTTCGCATCGTGTGCGTGTTCCTGCTGCTGTACTTTATGACGATCTCGCCCAACCTGTACAACCTCATCTCGCCCGACGACGTGGTTCGGGACAAGTCGAAAACGTACTTTTTGTATGTGTTTCCTGCCATGATTCCGATCCCACTCATGCTTTGGTTGTCCACCATGAAGCGGTTCAGACCCCATTTTCACAACATTTACGCAGTCGTGGTCACGTGCTGGACGTTCTCCATCATCGGCGGCGGCATGTACTCGATGCTGCACGAGTGGAAGCTGTACGTCCAAGACGACGTGACCAAACTGCTCAACTACACGCACTTCCTCAACGAGTCGGACGTGTTTACAATCAACCACGACGACGACCTGTGGCCGTACCCGACGTACACGGGCACCGGGCGCGACATCCTCTTCGACTACATGGGCGAAGTACTGCTGCCAGCTGCCACCATGAACATCAACCTCCTCCGCATGGTGCTCGTGTCCATTTTTATCCCGCTCTTGCGCATTGGGTCGGTGCAGTCGGCTGTGGTAAGACCTTCCCCATCTACGTCGCTATACGAACGATGTTATTTGTGTGAGTTTTCCAACTATTATACGTATACACGGTCGCGAGCTTGGCCTTGAGTGCTACATCGACACTGCTCATGAGGATGTTATCACGTAACACTATGACGAGTATAATGACCTCGGATGACGATTAGCATTGCTGCTGTCTTCGTAGTAGTATATACATACAGAGACACACTCTCCATCCCAGCCATGCCAACGTTGATGGCGGCAGCATGAATACATATATATATTGATGCGTTGTTTGTGTGTCGAGGTTTTTTGGATGTGATGACTGACGGATGGTTTGGTTGTGGTGTAGGTGAGTGTTGTGACAACGTTTGCATACACGCTCTTGACTGTGGTCGTGTACCCGTCAACCTCCAACAAGTACTTCAACACGAACAAGATCCTCGTGTTTTGCTTCCCGTTGCTGTTTTCGATCATCATGCTGCTGCAGAACCGAGACATGGAGCGCATGCTGCGCGTGGAGTTTCTCCAAATGCATGAAAAGGAGCAAGAAGCGGAAACCGCCAAGAAACAGCGCGAGGCGTTCGCTGAAGAGAACAAAAATCTCAAGCAGGAGCTGCAAAAGCAACAAGACTACCTTCAAAACCCCATCGATCTCCAGAGCCCCGTGCACAAAATCATCTCCGACTTGAAGGCAGTACAGGACGAGAGCAACTTTACCGACGCACAGGCGTTCAGGATGGCGGCGATCGTGTCAGCGCTGTCGCGGCTCGACACCAACTTGTTTACGCCTGATATCAGCACCCAAATGGCCAACTCGGATTCAGAGGTTGACAAAGACACAAAGAACTGGGCCATTTCCGTGCTGGGCAAGAAAGAGTACAACGCCACGAGCAGCCGCCTCTCCAACGCTATGGGCACGTCCGCGCCAGGAAGCATGGGGGGCAGCAACCACCTCCATGGAAGTAATGCGACCGACAGTCGATCCAAGTCGAGTATGCACATGCTAGGCCAAGGGTTCGTAGCGCTCGAGCACATGCCACTGCTGGACTCGGTGATGCTGTCGACGGTGATTTCCACCGTGCAGCGAGAAGGATGGAACACGGACGTGTTTTCATTGGACACGGACGGCCGCCCGTTGTTTGTGCTGGGAACGGCTTTGTTTGAGCATTACAACTTTTACGACGATGTCAAAGTCGATCGAGTGGCCATGAAGAACTTTATGTACTGCATCGACGAAGGCTACATTGGCAACCCTTATGTACGTCCGCCCGTGTCTATTTGTGTATTCTTACGTAATATTTCGTTCTGACGAGTTGACTATTTTTATAGCACAATGTGTTTCACGCGGCGGACGTGATGAATTCAGTCAATTACCTCATCGCGCAACTCCACAACGGGTACATACGGACGCTGCTGACCGTGAACGAGTTCTTTGCCGCGCTCGTGGCCGCGGCGATCCATGACTACAAACACCCTGGCAAAAGCAACAACTTTATGATCAAGGCGCGGCACCGCCTCGCCATGCAATACCACGACAAGTCTGTCCTGGAAAACATGCACCTCGCGGAATCGTTTCTCCTCACGCAGGACAACCCGAACTGCGACATTTGGGTCCGCATGAAGGACAAGACGTACCGGGAAATGCGCAAAGCGATCATTGAAATGGTGCTCGCCACCGACCTGAGCATGCATCTGCAGCTGGTCGGGAGCCTCAAGTCGATGATCATCTCGGATGAAAAGCACGACATTGCCAACGACCCCATGATCCTCATGCGGGCAAGTGACACGATATATAAAATATGATATTCTACGGGTTTCATTCATTTCACGGGCTTAGGTGGTGGTGAAATGTGGAGACATTGGGCACTCGGCCAAGTCAGTCAAGCTGCACGGGCAGTGGTCGTCGTTGATTGTCGAGGAGTTCTTCTTGCAGGGGGACGCAGAACGAGATGCGTGTACCGAGGTGTCGCCGTTCATGGATCGGTGGGCTGAAAACAGCGCCAAGGTTCGTAACGCTACGACATGTAACATCATTTTGAGTGGCCGGTTTTCTGTGGTGGGATTTTGACACTGTAATTGTGCTATATATGTAGAACCAAATTGGGTTTTTCGAGTTTATCGTGCTGCCGTTCTTCGATACAGTGTCGCAAGTGGTGTTCCAAGACTGCTTTCGACCGATTCACATGGCCACCAAGAGGAATTATGGGCTCTGGAAAGAAGCGGCGGCGCGCAATATGACGTCCATCGCAGGCATTCGAGAAGAGCTGTTTTCCGACGACAGTTTTGCCGCCGAGACTCTGTGAAAACAACTAGCTCTGTGGGATAGTATTTTACATAACGTTATACAAGTTCAAACCAGTTAGTGTACCGGTTTTAGATCTAACGCTACAGTACAGTAAGTACTACTATTAATAGTACAGTACCATATTTTACGACTCAATGTTGACAGTGAGAGTGTGGTTCAGTTAATAGGAACATAAACAAGTGTTTTCTTTGCGATACAGTAAGAACGGCCAAAGTGCCCCTTCTTGACACCGAGCAAATTTCGACATATGATAATGAAGCTACCTTACATAGTAACCTCTCACACACGGTACTAGGGGTTGATCAATGTGTGATGGTGGTCGTATTGGGGCTACAGTACATGTACAAGTAGGCTGTAGGCACTGTGGCGAAGGGAACATCTGTACTTTTTGTGTATCGCCACCAGGTTAGCTACGGCGGTAACGTTATGCGCCGCCTCAACTTCACATACTGTACTGTATTGTTTGGTCTAAAAATCGCTACAATGTCAGCCGTACCCATCAGCGACGTGACCACACATGTCACAAATGTCGTTGGGTTGACATGACACTTGGCTGAAACAATTCGAGTGACTCGGATTATAGGTTAAACCTGTTTTAACGTACTCACCTCTCTGGATGTCGACTGTGAAACGAATTGTGAAAAACGTACTTTTGCATTAGTAAAGGTTTCAACCAGGTTCATTCTGGGTCTTTTAAACATGTATCTCAGCGGCGTATCTCATATTTCCCATTGTGTGCAATGCCTGTGGCACCTTACCAAGCTCAAGCAACGCCATGGAGAAGAACGATCATCCAAACATCCTGCCCCTTTACAGTAGTCACGAGGTTGCTGTTAAAACAGCTGCATTAGACGACATTCCAAGGCTTCTTGCGCGCCACATACCGTACAGTCCCCCCCCTGTCTCTGATTCGTAGGCGACGCTCGACCCACGAATTACAGTACTACTAGCTGACAAAGGTATTTTTTTGTGGACTGCATTGCAAAAAGTAGTGAGGACTTACTATTAATACAGTAGCATATCAACGCACATGCCTATCCCACCAACCGGTATAGTAGAGATACACTGTACCTATCAAGAGCAAACCTATAACAGTATTATTGATCGCTCGCCCGTTGCAACCTTTCGTCGTCGTAACTTAATCACAGGTACTAGTATTAATTAACGTTATACGAATAGCACACACATACATATATATTTATAGTACGTAGTAGAAGTACGTGACTGTGCACACGTCCTGTCGTGGCTGGCATGACTGGCCTTAACGGCAGTTTACCCTTTTTTACGCCAAATTTACAGTACTATTAGGGTTAATACTCGAAAATCGCCGAGACAGTAGCACCTACTACTGTAGTAGTAATTTGAAACACCCGGTTTACATCGCGGTTTTGGCGACCACGTTTTCCATTGCTCACATTGACACTTTCTCCGGTTGGTACAATGTCCCAGCAGGCGAGCGCGTTTTCGCCGTTCGTCGGCGCCAAACTGCACACGGGCAACAAACCCGCTGTTTTGTCGACGGATGGACTCAAGCCGCCGCCGACCGTCGGTGACGACTTGGACCGACGACCGAGTACACAGGTGCTTGCACCGGAACTTGCGGCGCTGCGAGCGCACGGCCGTCGCGCTGCCGAAAACCTGATCCGACTGAATGCGTCCACACAGTGGCACAGCGTCCAGCGGACTGTGCCCGACGAGCATCATCCGATGGACTCGACCGCGGACAAGGCGCTGGAGCTGGTCCAGACGGCGGAGGATGGCTTTTGCAGTATCCGAGGCACGGCCGCCGTGTACGCGTCGTTTGACGAAGTCATGCAAGTGCTCAGTGTCAAGCATCCCCGGCGGGTGCGCAGCATGTACAGCCATTTCTTTGGTATTCATCCCTCCATCCATCGATCCATTTTCCAGATGAGAGTGCCCTGCGTTGATGTTGCTGTGGATCTATTGCAGGAAAGATGTCGTCTGAAGGCCGAACGCCCGTGTCATCGTGTGTGTACTACCAGCCTGCCGAGGACAACGCAGCCCCGAACCAAGTGTTGTCGGTGGAGACTGTTCAAGTCCGACCGCATTGGAGTAGCATCAACCCGACGATGACCACCACCCATCTTCGCGACAAGCACGAGTATGCGATCCTCCGATTCGTAGCTCCTGACGATTACGCCGGCGTGTGCGTGTGGGATGACGTTGACCTAAAATGCACCCCACTCGAACGCAACACGCCCCTGCGACGATGTGGGTTTGTCGTGTCACGAGCTAGCCCCCACCACGTAAGTACATACATCGCCAGGATTGTGTGTGATACTTGTATAACTATGTCGATCGTATCATATGTGTCACATATGGGTCGAGCTACACTTTCATATATATTGTTCAAATATTGAGTCTCCGTTTTTCGATGGACATTGTCGTCACACGATGGCCTTGACCAAATGTGAGATGATGTTGGCACTTGTCGCATATTGTTCCAGTTGGTTTCACACGTCGTCTTGACAACGTAACCGACCGTTTGCGTAGGTGCAAGCGTCGTTTATCTCGTCCACGGCACTGAAAACTGCAGCCGACGGGCGGCCTGCGCTGCCGGCGTCCACATACTTTGCCATGCAGAACCTTGTCACATCCACCCTGCGCGGCATGCACGCCGCGGTGGTGGACCTGCGCCTGCATGCGCCTATGGTGCTGCCCAAGGAAGTTATGGGGGACGGCCCGCGGTGCGTCCGGTGTTCGAAAGCGTTCACGTTCTATCGGTATAAACATCATTGCCGGCACTGCGGCGACGTCGTGTGCACGCACTGCAGCAGCTCCGTGGGTGTGATCGACGACGACGACTCGTTCGGCAGCCAACCCCCGTCCGAATCGCAAGAACCAAGCGGCGGCGCTACCACGCTTCCCCGCGGAGGTAGAAATGGCCAGCCAACTGCTGCCACTACTACTACGACGCCAACCCCCACCTGGAGCCGACGCGTACGACTGTGTGTGGGCTGCCAAGACGGTCGCAATCTGCACTGTAAGCCAACACGTCCATATGTTGTTGCCTTTTCAGCCAAATATATTGGATTTATATCAAATCCATCATCGATCGATTGGTTTTGTACAGAAAAGTATAAGTCACCTCAAAGTCGAATGTGGAGTGGTTGACGCCACGAGAATGATGATTGGATTGGCCACTTGATTATATACATAGTCGTGAGTTTTGGGTTTGATTGGTATCGATGGATTGTCGGCCGATTTGGTAGTACTACTGCTGATTCGACACATTGAGCCCCCCAATTTCGAGAATCGAATGGACAATAATATAACACTTGAGAACATTAGGCATGCGGAGGGCATCGTTGAAGCGACACTCGTCCGGCACCAGCAGCATTGGACGGCCGCCCGCACCCCACGCCCCCTCCACGTCAAGCCCCGTTGTCACCTCCCCGACGATGTTCGATGGCGACAATACGCCCCTGCCAAGCCCGTACCAATTTCGGGGGGCGTCTCGGTTAAACACAGCCCCCCCTCCCCCCTTCCAAGGGGGTCCGTCGGGGAGTTCGAGTTCCCGTCATCTCCCTGGATCCAAGACACCTTCTCAACCGTACCAGCAGCACCACGGGGGCCGGTCTCCGTTTGTAAGCTCAACCACGAGCTACGACGGCAACAGCAGCAGCAGCAGCAGCACCCCTCCCCCCCACCCGTCGCCTTGGTCCCCGACGGGCACGCCGTCGGTGGTCGAGTCCCCCAAGTTTCGCGCCGACCAATTCGACAATTTCGTCGATGCGTCGGCCGTCAAGAACAGCGCGCGACACCGCCACCGGTCGTCTGCCCGAGGGAAGAAGGCGGCGGCGGCGGCCCACGAGCCCATCCCGGAACCATCCGTGGTTCAAAACGAAGACGAGAAAGCCCCCGACGTTGTCACAGAGAGCACCCTGCTTTCGTATCCGCTGACGTTTAAAGATGGAAATGCGTGGCCAGATCCCCCCACGACCCCGCACGAGGCGTGGCGCCTCCAAAAAACCAAAACCCTCGATTTGCTTCGACCCCACCCCGAAACGCACACGTCCGTCCTTTCATGTGACACAGTGGTTTTTTGTTTTAATGTGCTTATTAGGTACGTCAAGATGGCGTGCAAAACCATGCAATGCCACGTCGGGGCACTCACAATTGTGGGCGGGTCCAAGGGCCTGTTGATCGCCAAAGTCGGCGTCGCAGCTGACTCGATCCCCCGTCACATTTTGTTCGAGTCGCATGTCCTCATGTCGACCGAGCCGTTGGTCGTGCTGGACTGCCACAATGACCTGCGCTTCATGACCAACCCCCTCGTCTGCCAAGGAGATATTGGCATCCGCTTCTACGTGGGAGTGCCGTTAATCACGTCCGACGGATGCATCGTCGGCGCGCTTAGCGTCGTGGACACCCGTCCGCGGACCAAGGTTCGCCAGCTGGACCTCCACACGCTCGTGTTAACGGCTCGGACGCTCATGCGGCGGTTCGAAGACTTGACGACAGCCGCCGCGCTGCATTCTGGCCAGAGCAGCGACGAGAAAAAGTCGAGGCCAGTGTCGTGGCAGCAGGCGGCCGTGTCCGATGTGGACTAAATCTAGCGTATTTATTGTTCTTGTCCAGTTGGAAAATTAATATTTTCTATTTTAGTCATACGACCACTTGTAGTAACGTTAGTGTACTGTAATAATACACGTTTTTGCGGTTAATGTCAGTTTGTGTTTTCACTAGATTTCGCTTCGCTGACCACCGATATAGTAGTAGCGTTACACAATTTCGGTTATTTTCGTGGCACCCTAAAACTTTAAATTTTCACCAAGTCAGCGATACTACCTCCAGCCGGATTTAAACCTGCCATTTCGAATTTTGTAAAAGTCGGAAATAAACCCGCCACACGAGAGACCCCCATAATATATTAAATAATTATACAATTCAATACAAATAGCGGTATAA